TAGCAATATTCCGAAGGTAGAAAAAGGAAATCCTACAAACCTGTTTAACCTGGGATTTGAATGACATTTCCTGGTCAAAGATAACACCAAGGTTTCTTACTTTGTTCTCGGAGATTAATGTAATGCCATTCAGGTCAGGTGATTGGCTAAGCAATTTCCTTTTCTGGATTTCTGGTCCAAAGATGAGAACTTCCGTCTTGTCTTGATTTAAAAGCAAAAAGTTTAGAGTCATCCATTTTTTATGTCCTCAAGACAAGCCTGTAATGTACCCAACCGATTAGGTTCATCAGGGTTAATGGATAAATATAGCTGAGTATCGTCAGCATAACAGTGGAAGTTTATCCCATGCTGTCTAATGATTTTACCAATTGGGAGCATATATATAGTAAAAAGAATTTTTCCAAGCACTGAACCCTGTGGTACTCCGCAAGTAACCCTGGAGTATGAAGAAGATTTGTCATGTACATTTACAAAATGAAATCTGTCAGACAGGTAGGATTTAAACCAGCCTAGCGCTGTTCCTTTGATCCCTACAACATGTTCAAGTCTTTCTAAAAGAACATTGTGATCAACTGTGTCAAAGGCAGCACTGAGATCTAACAAGACTAGAACAGACACAAGATTCTTATCTGAGGCCATGAGAATATCATTTGTAACTCTCACTAATGCAGTTTCAGTGCTGTGATACTCTCTAAAACCAGACTGAAATTCCTCAAACAGAGCATTAGTGTTTAAATGCTCACATACTTGGATGGCCACTATTTTCTCCAGGACTTTAGATAAAAATGGAAGGTTAGATATTGGTCTATAATTCATTGGGTCATCTGGATCCAGAGAAGGCTTCTTAAGTGAAGGTTTGATTACAGCAACCTTAGAATCCTGTGGTACATACCCACTTACTAAGGATAGATTGATTGTATCTAGAATGGGAGCAGTAACCAAAGGAAATGCTTCTTTAAATAATTTGGTTGGGATTGGATCCAAAATGCAAGTTGAAGGTTTAGATGAAGCTAATATTTTTGATAACTCTGAAAGCTCAACTGGATCAAAACGGTTCAAGCACAGATGAGGTTCTACAGTCACCTCTGATGCTGGCTTACTTACTGAGGAAGAAGAAATCGCATTAGGGAGGATGCTAAAGATTTTATTTCTAATCGAATTAATTTTACTTGTAAAAAACCCCATGAAGTCATTGCTGCTGAGGGCTAAGGGAATAGATGGCTCAGAGCTATGATTCTGTGTAAGTTTAGCAACTGTACTGAAAAGAAATTTAGGATTATGCTTATTCTCCTCAATTAATGCTGAGAAATAAGCAGTTCTAGTTTGTCGAAGCTTATTTTTATAAAGCGCAAGACCATTTTTCCAGGATAGGTATGCCTCCTCATGGTACGTAGAGCGCCATGTTCTCTCCAATTTCCTAGAGTTTTGTTTTAAGGCTCGTAAATGACAATTAAACCAGGGAGCCAACTTCCTGTCTCTAATTACCTTCTTTTTTAAAGGGGCAACATCATCTAATGCCACACGTAAAGAGGAATTAACATGATGAAGTAAGGCATCAATTTGTGAGGGGCTAGAACTGAAAATTCTTGGCCCCGTCTTGAAAATGGTTAAGGTTAGGATGGGGGTGTGGGGATGGTTAAATTGCAAGAGGGTAAATGTCACAATTCAGTCAAATGTCTGTTTTACCGCAGATACAGACACTCTGGCACAGCGCGTCGCCTTCCAACGCGCAGTGGCTCGTCACCTGCTGTCTTTTCCGAGAACTGCATTTTGTCGGTCATTATCACGTGACAGTGACTAGTCTATGAAAGGCATAAAATGTCACTACAGAGCAGTGAAGATGACTAGTAGACTAGTTGATACAACCCCTAGTGTATGTATGTGTGTGTATATATATATATATATATATATATATATATATATATATATATATATATATATATATATATATATATATATAATCAGCCATAACAGTAATAGCTATATGGGGTATCGGTATCAGCCTAAAATATTTATATTGGTGCATTCCTAATTTTCACCTTAATGGTTGAAAAGTTGTTTTAGGCTGTCACAATGCACATTAATTGGCTTACAAAATTCACAATATTTTTCCCCAAAATCGCCAATTTTAACTGGCAGGGTGATATTGCAGTAGTCTTGCGAGAAAAAAAAGCATTTTGGCATTTATACATTCACAAAGTACACAAACTTCACTAAAAGTCATAAAATACTCAAAAGCAGAAACAATTTTTACAAATGTTAAATGATGATTGATGGTTTTGGATGATTCTAGTTTAAAGATCATGTTGTGAAACTGTAAGGTTTAACTCGATTTTTCAGATGACACTTTTTAGGATATGAGCTGTTTACCCTAACCCTAGAAATCTAGACCAACCGTAGCAGTAGCCAAAAGATTTTGTTCTACAGATCGGTATAGCCATGCTTCATTGTCACCTCTGCTGGTCTATCATTGGCCTGAACAGTTTTGTGTTTTGCCAATCACAGCCTTATGTTTGTTGGGCGGCCTTAGCTAGAGAGCTTCCACAGAGAAATATCTACAAAGATGGTGCGTCAAGAACAGCGCTAGTTTGAAACAACTTTGGCAACAACTTTGGATGATTTAGACAAGTGCTTTTCTCTGAGCCATGAAAAGCTAGAGGTACTTAGGTCCTCTATTTCAAAAATGATGTATTTGCTTCTTTTTCTTCTTCTACTTTGACGCTGTATAGCAGACGTCCCCATTGACTGATTTCCATAGCAATGAATACATCACATTGCTCATTGCTCTGAATTGTCCCAGTGCTGCCTAGTTGTGTGTGGAGACAGTTTGAAAGGCAACCACAGATTCGGCTCCACGACCGATCTCTGTCTATGGGTCCTCATCAGACTATATTTACATTTTTAGGATGCCTTGCCAGCCTACTTTACCCTGACAAGCTGCTAACTATCATTCTGACCATTCCTTTCCAGTAAATGCATGGTCAGTCTTTGTTATTAGAAAACTATGGTAGAAGTTTATCCAGTAAGTAGGCCAAAGCGTGCAAGTCAGCATCTGTTTAATATAAGTTATTTAATTTTTTATCTTACGGCTCTACCTAAGTTGTATTTAATTGAAATGTGAGGATTATCATGGATAACTAAGACTAAATGGTACAAGCAGAGCACAGATGCCAATGGGTAAGTTAGCATGTACTGTACATCAATCATCTCTGCACTGTGTTATGCTAAGAGGACAAAAAGCAATCATTTAAATGTCAACAGCTACAGTTGAAAGTAAGATTGCATTTTTCCAATTTTTTTTATTAGCAATGTCAAAGCACCAAACCCCACTTTGGAAAGATCTCTGCAGTAGAACGTTGCTGTAAAACATCCTTCCATGATAGCTAGATGTTACTTATTAAAAACACTATGCAATAAAATCATGTCTGCTTTTGTGTTGTAACGTCCAGCAATGGTCCGTTTTTAGGTACAGTTGGACCATTCAACATCTATTCAACATCTATTCAACATCTATTCAACATCTGGTCAAACAGGAGACACAAGGCTGCATGTGTTTCCTTTAAATTGGCCTGCCTCCATCCCACCAGCTGGAGCTCAATCCCTGCAGCTCTAAACACAAATAACGAAATGTCAACAATAACATTCTCTCCTCAAGGTCCAATCTTTCAGGTCTTCATGCCTCCATATAAGGAACACTCGCAGCTCGGATCAGTTGCTAAATCAAAGAATGATTTCCTAAACCAATAACGACTTCTTCTACACCTTATAAGCTAGATAATCATTAAATAAACATTTGTTTATTGCTACTTATAATAATTATGATATAATGAAATATTTCATTAATCTGATTGAAGTTTGAAATGAATGTTATGTTGCTTACATGGCAAGGTCATCACCATTTGCACTCACCCAAGAACAAGTAAGGTTGAGTTGAACTCGTGGCTCGTCATAAATAGTCGTTCACCCCAGTCAGAGCCTCCGTATCAAAGAAGGCGTGTTTCTGAGTTTCTTGGTAACATTTCTCAAACCTGTCAACCTCTGGTTGGCTACACAAAAGTAACATGAGAACATCAAAACTGGATCACTCTCGGGTTATCTCTCAGTTCTAGAGACAGCTTTAGACCGGCCACCTGAAGCAAGACCCTCTTTAACCATCAAAGCTTTTGGCACGTCGTCTAAACCTTTTTGCACCTGCGACGCTGACACCGCACCAGTTCCTGCAGAATAAGCTGATATTGTTTAGACTCCTTAAGAGTCCCAGACGTGCGGTTTCATCCGTCTGTCGTGACCCGAGACATCTCTGGACTGAAGAGTCGGTGCCACGGTATTCTACAGCCCTTCGGTGCCAGAGGTCAGCTGACCTCTCTGACCTTCGGATCCACCAAGAGGGTCTCTGAGAACGGGTGAAGTAGACACACAGATAGCGTCTGATGTGCTTTGATAAAAACCACCTTCATAGCTTACCGCAAACCAAATTCTTTTACATCCAGAACTCAGCTCTCCTAGATACGGAAGTTCTGACTAACATCGCATTCACACATAGGTTCATACATCACATCTAGTTCCATCCATCACAGTAAATGTTAGTTAACGTGTCATGTTTTAATTGTTGGTAAAATAAATTCTTACTTTTATAAACCTGACTCTTTTCTGAAGCAAAATGAAGTGTGTACAATTCCTTAATAAAGAAAGAATCCTAGAATCTTCTGATAAACACACAAAGACCAGGCAGGGTTGATATTCTATATTTATATAGAGTATCACAGCTTATTGGTCATAAGTAGAGGTCATATGTTTATGAGCTATTAAAGCACTCAATTTCCTAAACCCTACAGTGCTATAATAATAATAATAATAATAATAATAATAATAATAATAATAATAATAATAACAATAATAATAACAATAATAATAACAATAATAATAATATAATGGCTATTATTATCATTATTAATGTTGCTATAATGAATATTTTTGCTAATCTTTCTATGTGCTAACAGGAAGAGGAGCTACGACAGAGTGGTGAGGCCAAGTATCACCACCTGAATGAAGACTTGCACGTTCTCATTGAGGTGTTCGCCCCACCAGCTGAAGCTTACGCCAGGATGGGTCACGCTCTGGAGGAGATCAAGAAGTTTCTCATACCAGTGTGTTCTATTCACCCCTTTTGCACTTTTTTTCTCGCCCTTTGATTATCTACTTTTTTCTACTCTTTGGTATCAGTTCGAATTATTCGCAGCCCTCTGAGTAGTCATGGAGATCAGTAGTGTTGGGAGTAACACCGTTTAAGTATAACGGCGTTACTAACGACGTTCTTTTATAGGTAACGGAATAATCTAATTAATTACTTTTCCCGCCGTTGCAACGCCGTTACCGTTACTGGGGACGGAAGGTTGTGCGTTACTATGTGCTTGTCGAACGTTGAGCAACAGTGTGAGGCTTTCCGACCGCCACACTTCAGCTGCAGCCTGGGAGAGAGAGGTGTCGGTAACGCGCTTACAAACACCATGGTGATTGGCCGGGTGGGCGTAAACCATCAGCGTTCTCACTGTCACCGCACGCTGTAGACCCAACAGAGCAATGACAGGAATAACGCCGTTTAAAATAACCGCGTTAATAAAAAATATTTCTTTCAGTAACGAGCAAAACTAATTAATTACCTTCTTCTTTTATCAAAACGATCGTTTCTGTTACTGGTAAGGAAATGCGTGCGTTAAGCAGCGCGGTGTGTTGAAGCTGCCATCAGCTGATCAGGAGCTAAAGAGGCAGATGTTTTCATCCAAGAGCATCACGGCCGTGAAGAACGAGGAAGATGTGATGAATATCTACGGCTGCAGACCCCCCGCAGATTCGCTGCTGCAGGTGTGGATCTGCAGCCATGCCCTTCTTAGCGTGACAGCGGGACGTCCCGAAGGTCCACTCACCTGTTCACCGCTCAGACATCCTGATCTTCTACCTTCCTAGATCATCCAGCTGTAACCTGTTCCTGATCATGTCTTTAGTCCCGCTGTAACACTGATGCATCAGTCTCAGACGTCATGGAGCTCAGGTGTTATCAGAACTACCTGTGTGTGTTTACCACCCAGCTTCAGCTCTTCTGTGGTTGGGTCTGACCCACGTTAGTAAATGTAAGTCCTCCATCAGGCTCGTGCCTCTTCTAGTGTCATTTTAAAGGATTTTTATTTATTTATTTAACCGTTACTAGATTAGCAGCAAACAGAAATGTTGCTAAAAACACACAATTATGTGAAGCTGGAAAAATTAGAATACTGTACAAAATTACATTCATTTCTGTAATTTAACTAGACTGAGAGACCATTTAAAGGCTCGGGAACCTTTACAGGTGTTTCTATTTGCAATTTTAAATTTTAGCTGATTGGGGTCTTGTTAAATATCACACAGTGACCTTTTAATAGTCTAGATTAGTGTAATGTTCCTGTTAGTAGTTCCTCCTGTTAAGTGCTTATTTAAATTATTCAGGTTTATAAAAAACATTTAGACATTTTATTATGTTCAGTCATTAGTCATTTATATTTCACTATTGTAGTAATTCTTGCATTCTTTAATGAAAAAAGTAACTAAGTAGTTATTTTTGTTGGTAATTAGTTACTTTTATGATCTTGCAACTCAGTTAGTAACTGAGTTACTTTTTTGACCAAGTAATCAGTAACTATAACTAATTACTTTTTTAAAGTAACATTCCCAACACTGGAGATCAGTCACTTTGTTTTCTAGAACTTGTAGTGTAACGCCTACTTCACACAGGAAGCATCAGCAGTGCAAACAGCAGCAGAACGTCGCTGCTTCACATCAGAATCCACTATGGAGGCGACTAAAAACAAACCGCGACACGGAAATTTTCAGGCGCGTTCCAGAAGCAGCAGGCTATGCCTGCGCTACTAAAGATAGCATCAGGTTCTATTTTAGCCACATGGTGCTTTTGGGACACGACAATTCCCGCATTTAACATAGGGCTAGACAGGAAATCACGTATGGAAACCGACACGATATCAATACTTGGATCTGAGTACTCGCCGATACCGATTACCTATACCGATAATTCTACCACACCAGAAATGCAATGAATTGGAATACAGGTTTTATTTTTTTCTCTGCTTTCAAGAGGAAAATAGTGTGAGGTAGATAAAAATTAAATATATTAATAGAAATGATCACAAAACTAAAATATTAGGTGAACAGAAATGACAAGTTACAGCAAAGCCACTTTCAGACATCTGCATTGGCATCGGTTAACTTTTACTGATACCAGTACCGGTATCTGTGCATCCCTCGTGTTAGGTTTTATACTGTAAGTAAGTAAGTATTGTATTGAAAGCCTGAGCACGCACTAGCTAAAGCTGACATCCACCAGATGTTGAAACCAAACTCCTGCACGAGAAAAAAGGAGAAGGAATGTATAAAGTGTGTTAGTCGGTTTTAGCGTTAGCTTGAAGGTGACTGATAGTTCATGTTTTAGAGTGGCTTTAGTCAGAGTAAACCAAGAACCAGGGATCGTTTAGTGATGACCTCTTTAAGACAATCAGCATATGAACTATAAGTTATAAATATGGGGTTCTGAATCAGAAGCAAGTCAAAAGCAGTTCATTACAAAATAAGAGAAACTAGAGGAGACCTCGTCGCCTTGGATCAACCTTTTCTGGCAGAGGAAACAGCACGCGGCTTATTTACTTCTCTTCTATTCATAATGAATGAAGTCTCCCATGCTCAGAGCGATAATGATTTACATTTCATCATTAATTATCTGCATACCCATCCAACAACCCCTTCTCCATTCCTTCTTCCCACCATCACCAACAACACACTTATCGACTCAGCTAATGTGACAATCATATTAGTCATTTGTGATTAAAGGTCCATTTTTATATTAACTGATGTCTTTTAATTTAGCGGCAAAAACAACTGTGTTAGGAGATAAAGGCCAGTGGGGTACGGAGGTCTTATCAGCAGAAGACGTGAGAGGATTTGCTGCTTCAGGAAGAACAGCCATGGCAGTACTGTAAAGTAGTACATCAATTAGATATTCCCAGGGCTGTAGGCCTGGAGATAAAGAACGTCATTTAATACAGTGTAATTGAAAGTGAGGCTTTTGCCTCCACTGTGTGTGTGTGTGTGTGTGTGTGTGTGTGTGTGCGCGGACATGATTCCTCTCTGTGTGTGTGCAGGATTACAACGATGAGATCAGACAGGCCCAGCTGCAGGAGCTTACGTACCTGAATGGTGGCTCTGAGGATGCCAAGGTGCCATCGGTCAGGGGCAAGTCATCCACCCGTGGCAGAGGGACACCTGTTCCAGGGCCTCCCAGGTAACTTGGTTCCAAATGCAAACTCCATCCAGCTGGGAGATGAGCGTTATTTACAGATAAGAAGCTTCTGGGAAAACCTTGTTTCTTAGTAAACAGGCACAAGTTCTTGTTTATGTAAAAAGGCCCAAATTAGCATTTTTATATTAAATAATCCTGGGTATTTTACACTAATGCTCAGTGTTAATTTGGTCTAATTGGAGTGGGAATTCATAAACTTGACAACAAGCAACAAATCTGTGCATTTGGGGGAGTTGTTGATATCCAGCTGTTATCTGGAGGGAGGTGGGGTACACCCTGAACATGTCACCAGTCCCATCACAGAGCCACATAGAGATTCATGAAACATCCATTTGACAGTTCAGAGCAGCCAGTTAAAGGCAAAGTTTATTAAAAACAAACACTTCTCACCTTTTTTTCCTTATTTTTGATATGTGATCACTTTAACATGCTGGCTACATGTGAAAATAATATTTCACCCATATTTCCTGCCTTAGCTGCCGATAAATAGAAAACACTCGGATCAGAAACCGTACATCATGTTGTAAAATCAACCTTCATGGACTCACCCACCTTGGCTCATGACAGGGACGGCGTTTGTTGGATTAGCATCCAGGGAACAGCAGAGAACGTGTTGGCTATTAGAAGCTAACCATTATCATTAGCAACTCCTCAACATGGCAGAACTTCTTCTGGCTTGTGTTGTTTTTGCAGGTAAACATCAACATTGCAAAGCTAACAGTCAGTGGTAGAGTTGAGATGCTGTTAGCTAATCAGAGGCGAGAATATGAAGAAATAAGAGTCTAAATGCTGTTGTCTTCAGCTCGCCTCTCCTCTGGCTCACTTCTAGTTCCTCAAAATGTAGCGCCAGAGCTTTTATTTCCACAGAGATTGATTTACAAGGAATTTATTGAGACCACTGCAATTGTATGGAAGAGAACGAGTGGTCTTGGTTTTAACCTAACATGCTGTTTGCTTTTGGTCTGTTGTGGCATTTCACATCTGGTCCGGTCCCTTCCTGGCAGCATCAGGCCGCCCCCGCACCGCCAGGTGTTGTTCACACCGTGATGTCTGTGGTTCACGCAGCACTTTCAGAAATACGGGTGTCTGGTAGATGTTACCATAAACCCAGTGTTGTGCCCATCAAAATAAAAATTAGATTTTTTTTATTTAAGTATGGCTTTTAAAGCAAGCGCTGTACCTTCATGCTGTACACACACCTGTAAGGTATTCTTTTTTTGAATATAGGTTTTTATTAAATTGTTCCATATTAAAACTATAATCGTCCGTCCTCTCCAGCGACGCTAATGGTCCTTTTCTGAGTACCCCTAGGCAGGTACTCATGTGTTCCTGAAACGGCCCAGAAAGTAAAATCTTTTCGGACCGGCCCAGTGAAACGGAGACTCGACCATACCGCGACGGTCCAGTAAAATCATCCAGAAGTGTGAGGACAGAAGTGCTTCACTGACTTAAACTGTCTTTTTCGGACTTTAACGAAAAATCCTGCCACATGGCCAACATTGTTCCTTGCTACTTTGCTAACGCACTCTGTTCTGATCCCGTGGGCTTTGCATGCTGGCTCTGAGCGCTAAAGTTAAAGCAGAACGTACTGCTCATATCGGAGATTTTTGATGCAGTCCGATATAATCCCATACAGTGTTTTTGGTCCGATATCCGATATCAACACTGGAACGGGACATCCCTGATCTCAGTTAAACTGTGGATAATCAGCCAGAGAGAAGGACTGCTGAAAAAGTGACCCATACCCATTCAGAATACAAACATGCATCTGAATAGAAGCCTGACTGTGTCACATCCAAACCCACTCTACTTTCAGCTCAGACCTCACAGGACTGCAAATTAAAGTGTTTGTGGCAGATGATCAGATGATTTAATTACAGTGCTCACACACAGGATGTTGATGGCTTTTCTAAACTTAAAGAAACAACGTTTTCTCAAGAGAGGAACAAGGTCTCAGAGGTGGAGCACTTGTCTCGCTCTAGGTTGGAATGTAATTGGCACTTTCTTCAATTATACCATAATTAGCATTCGTCATGTGTAATTTACGTGAAGTATATATATACATATATATATATATATATATGGACCTGCTGTTTAGAGTACCAGTTTTCTCTCATTTTTCTAAACCTTATCTCATCCTCCTTCTGTCACACCATCAATGCTTTTTCTCCTCTCCTCTTTCCCAGAAATATCAGATCTCAATAGGCAACGTTAAAATGAAATACCCGTAAAGCAAACTGCTGGTAGTGCAAACCTGGTGGTTTTCTGCTGGAGCGTCCGATCATTTAGCTCCTTTTAAAGGAAAGCTCAAGTGGTGAGAGGAAGAAAAAACAGTAATATTTTCACCAATCTACAAAGTCGGACAAGCTTTGATTTCTGAAAGAACAGTTGGAGTTTGCTTCATTAAAAAAACCACGTTGGTCTTTATTTCATCCACAGGAAATTTCACTTCCTTTTTATCCTACAGATGGTGCGATGCTCATTCACAGCTTTAAATATTAGAAGCCACATCTAAAGATTGACTGGCTTCAGATGTACTCTTGACAAACATGTTTTAAGAACACATCAAACCTCTGCATCACTAGTCTTCACTTTCAGCATCCACACACGTTATAAAAATGCAGGCATAACTCTTTTTTCCATCATCTGAGTTTATCTTAATAGACAGAAAAAGCAGTTCAACCACAAGACTTGGTGTGTTTTGAGTAATGGACATGACTCACTTTCTCTCGACTGGAGGAGCATGCCCTCCGCCTGCGCTGTTCCTTTCTCCCCTCCCACACCTATAACCTGCCTGCCGAATGCATCAAATTCATCGTTTCTAGATTTAGTCAAGTAATTCTGGCCGATGTAGGAAACAGCCAAGGAGAGTGGAAGTGGATCCTGCGAGCTAAATGATTTCTAACATCTCATCAGAGATGTGGACTGCAGCTGACATATAATATAGATGGCACAATATCTAACATCTTTTAGGGACTTAACAATGACATGAACATGTTACATTATACTATGCATGCATGAATATGTTTCCTCTCTTGGCTTATCTGATATAAAAGCGGTTTATTTTGATCATCCAAACACCAGAAATGTCTCTTGTGTCAGGAGTCGTGGAGGAGTTCCTCCCCTGCATGGAGCAGTCCCGCGAGGAGCAGCACCCAGAGGAGCTCTGCCTAGCCGGGCTCCTTCCTCCAGAGGCAGGGGGGTTCAGAGAGCCAGAGGCGCCCCACCAGCTGCTGGCTACAGACCTGCTCCTCCAGTGGTGCTGGAAACGTACGGTGAATATGTAAGTACTAATGCAACAGTAATGTAACCTGTATCAGGACTTTGCTAATAATTAAAAATGGAGACTTCAGCTTCAGAAAAACATTGCAGCCTTAGTTACATTTGCTTTAGTTATGGCCAGTGGGGTTAAATACAGCATGATGAGTGCTACAGAAAACAAAACGTATGTTTTATCATGCTTTACTTCTCCCTCCTACTGGTTAAAAGTGGAATTACAACTCCTACTGGTTAAAAGTGGAATTACAACTCCTACTGGTTAAAAGTGGAATTACAACTCCTACTGGTTAAAAGTGGAATTACAAATCCTACTGGTTAAAAGTGGAATTACAACTCCTACTGGTTAAAAGGGGAATTACAACTCCTACTGGTTAAAAGTGGAATTACAACTCCTACTGGTTAAAAGTGGAATTACAACTCCTACTGGTTAAAAGTGGAATTACAACTCCTACTGGTTAAAAGGGGAATTACAACTCCTACTGGTTAAAAGTGGAATTACAACTCCTACTGGTTAAAAGTGGAATTACAACTCCTACTGGTTTAAAGTGGAATTACAACTCCTACTGGTTAAAAGTGGAGTTACAACTCCTACTGGTTAAAAGTGGAATTACAACTCCTACTGGTTAAAAGTGGAATTACAACTGCAAACTGAAAAAGCTAACTGCTGCCAGCACAATAAACGACATTTGCCATACAGACCACATGGGCTGGCGCTACCTATTGGAGCTGCCGTAGTGGCCGCCATCTTGGATGGGTCTCCATTCGCCTCCAGTGCATTTATTTCTACTGAGGAAGGTGCTTATCTCACTAAAAAACAAATTTTAATGTGCTTTCTCACAAAGTCAGGCATATGGTATGGCATGATAGTTAAAATATAAATATAATAAAACTAATTAATTAAAATATAAAATACCAACAGATAGGCTAGAAGAGTCAATAGTAATACAACGTGATCTGTACGCCGGTTGTTGCAATTGTAGGCTGCACAAAAACAGACATAGTTGCTCACTCTGTGTTGACTCCAGTTGGGTTTGGAGAGTGAAGAGTCTCAACCAATATGACAGCGACGCTGTTTTGCTTTTGCAGGCAATAGCTTAAAGTACGAAAACACGTTAGTGTTGACTTAACTTCATGTATTTGCTACAGAACACACTATTGAACCATTAGGATTTACATGTGACCGTGCATCTCTTTTACTCTGCATCTCCTGTTGGCGGGAAGGGGGCTGTAGACTATAGCTGGGAAACACTGACTTTTGTGTTTCCTAAACGAGACTTAGCAATAGGTTGAGGCTTGTTTTTGGCAAAATTGTTGCACCTGAAACTGCCAACGAGGACAGTTTACACAACCAACAAATCCTAAAAGGGACATAATTTGGAAATTTTACCAGGCTGTCATAATTGCTTCACAGCGAGTTTTGCAGAAGGACTTTAAACGTTTAACGTTTTCTTTGAGGATCGGTAACTTTGGTATTGTTTTGGTTGCTTTATTGCAAACCTCCAGCTTCTTGCAACATCACCCTGCAGTGCGTGCTGGGGAATGGGCCGCATTCCCACTGATTTGCCAACTGCCTCTGTCTATTGGTCAGTGCTCTAGGCTTGTGTAACTGATTCATTTTGCTGTAGAAGGCAGGGGAGGGACTAAGTATACTTTATATCACAGAACAGAACCAGATAGTGAAATGCAAGCATTTTTAAAGTTACCTTAAATTTACATACCCAGCATTTACAATGCAGCATGTTCTAGTGCTTTTTTAAACTAACATATGTTGTTACAACCTTATTTGGGATACCATCAGATACGTGGTAATGTAAACTCTCCAGGCTTCAGTTTTGGTCTCGACTCCCAGTTTTCTTTGTCAATCATCACTTATAACTCTTCCTAATTGGATATTCATTTATTGAACATGTAAGTTCAAACCTTACCTTGCATTTGATTTATATTTATAGTTGGTGAAGGCTCTCAGTCATCGAGGTTTTGATAATCCAAAGGAGTTCGAATGAAGGCAGCTAGACCAAAGAAGTGAACCCCTTTGGATATTTATAGTTAGAGTTGCAGTGGAAATTCTGGAGACATGTTACTTAAAACTTTGTTCTTGTTTTTCAAATCACTCATGGGGAAGCTGTTTTGTAATGCGGTAAATAAAGCTTTTAAACATGCGTCAGAGGACTTTAAATTTAAGTTATTATCATGTTACAAAAATGCTTGATTAAATAATTTGAAGGTTTTATCTCAGCCATGACTGAACTCTTGCAGCATTGTGTGAACCCAGCTGTATAAACAACATCTGCAAAAATGTCACATATTAAGCCTAGAGTCAGGGCTTTTGTACGTTTGCCAAATAAAAGTCATCAGCTGCACGGTCAAGGCAAATTCCCAAGAGGCGCCAGCATTAACCCAGCATATTTAACAAATAGAGGGAGAGTGGAGGTGGCCTGCGTTGGTGCCCCAGCAGCGCATACCTAACCACATCTGACAGGTTTATTCAGAGGTTGCATTTCAAATGCGTGGAGGTCATAGAGAGTAACTCCAGGACCAGCTGTTTGCCATCATTGTCGCAGTTGTAAGCTGTAACCCCTGACGTCTGCACCTGTGTGTCTGTTCAGAGACAAAAGGGCCACCAACATCTGTCCCGTAATAAACCTCAACACATTGCTGCAAATGAACACTTGAGTGAGTTTTGTTGTGTGCAACGTGAACGCAACATCATCACCAGTTGTCGTCATGAGCTGCTGACTAACAGCCTCTTGCATCCACCAATGAAAGGACAGAGAAATGAATATTTTCCACATTTTTGGTCCTAATTTTTTACTTATTTATTTCATTTTTCTATCATTCTGCTTTTGTTGTCAAACACTGGAACAAACAAAAACATACCCAGCTAGAAAAATCATCTTTCACTTATTTAGACAGTGGAAACTCAATTTCCTTTTCTCTTTCAATTCAATTAAGATTCACCTCTAAGCCGATGACTGTCAGATCTATTTTCCCATATTTACGCTCCATGGGCGGGATGCAGCTATCAGTGAATTGCTTGACGAAGGTTAACGCTTGGCTAGCAGAAACCTTTCTTTGTTTAAATGAGGCAAAGTCAGAGATGCTTGTCTTTATGTCAAGATCGGAGAGAAACGGCTTGGTTCCTGTGGAGAGACGACTGGTTCTCAGCTTGGACGTGAAAACATTTTCTCCCCTCTCGTTTGACTAAAACATAAAGAGGACTGTTCAAACATGTAAACATGTAAACTTTGCTGCTTGTCCAGGATCGAAGCATTGTTGGATTAGTGCAACTCCCTACTCATAGGTCCATAAACGTGCTGCAGTTCAAAACTTCGCAGCGAGGTTTCTGACTGGCACAAAGGGGAGAGACCACATGACCTCGGTGTTGGCTGACCTACGCTGGCTACCGGTCCAATTTCAAACAGATTTGAAAGTTCTTGGTTTTTTTAAATGCGTTATCAGGAAATGAACCATCTTACCTACAGGCCCTTCTAAATCTGCATGTTCAAGAAGGTTTCCTGGCAGATCAGTGTCCGTTCTCAGCTCCATGGTACACCCTGGACCCAAGGAGTGGGCAGGCGTTCTCTATAGCAGATCCCAGAGTGTGGACTAATATGCCGTTGGACATACTAACTGCAGCTTCTCTTGTGTTGTTTAAATCAAGCCTTAAGAGAAAATTTAATTCTCTGCCTCTTAACTACCGACTGCTATGGAATAGTGCTGTTTCGATGTCTTTTCCTTTTTAAATACGTTTTCTTGTTGGTGCCTTACCTTAAAGGGATGATCTGTTGCCATTGTATTTCTGTGATTGTTGTGTTCAGCATTTAGTTTGCCTGAAGTTAGTTGAAATGAGCTCTACAAATAAGATGACGATTGTGGTTTTGTTTCGTTTTAGTCCAAATAAAAAACAAACACTACGTTGATCTTGATGTTGCTGCTTTAGCGTTGTTTGCATCAACATCAAATTACACAGAATGTAATTATTAACAAACAAAATCATATAAATCTTCTGATCTAGTTGAGGCTACTCTATCCGCCCCAAATAGGAACTATAATTGCAGCCAAATCCTATTTGGTGTGATTCATTATGTGCTTGAGATGTCTGACTTACCTGCTGCTGATCCCATTGGAGCAACGTGATTAAACATGATGTAATTTTGAGGATGACATATTACCAGCTCATTTGTCAATTTATAACAAGATCTGAGGAACCTCATCAGACTACCAGAAGCTCACAGGCAGGAAGGACAGTTTTAATGCATCAATGTGAGCAGTCGAAGTGTGCAACGCATCCTGGCTGCTGTTCTTAGTGAAATCCTCCAGATAGATTAATCCTGAGACCATTTTGAAACCTTGCTAACTGTTGCGACATAAATTCATCACTTCCCTCCTAGCAGTCCTCAAAGTGTCCTGTTGTGCATTAATCCATCCATTAACTGAGTCTTATTCTCTTACTTGTTGCTCCTAAGGTCTTTAACCTAAACTGAACTTTAAATGAAATAGCAATAATTAAATATGTCAAAATAAACTCTTGACAATTATATATTTATTTATTTGTGGTTCAACAGAAAAAATAAGCTAAAAACTACTGAAATTGACTTAGACCTTGGAGTTTATTCCTGTTCTTTTAGAAAATTTTCTGAACAATTTAATTATAATTAATATATTCATAATATCATATAATATTATAATCCAGCTCTTCAATTCGGTTTTCCTCTGGCAGCCATGTCCAGGGTAGCTGGCTGGAGTCCCATGGACCTTAAACATCTGAATAATACAGTCCTTCAAAGACATTGTGAGTTTGCAATTTCAACTATTAAGGGAAATTCAACCAATATCCTCAAGTCTTGCATGGTGTGCAGTTGTGACCAATCACAGCAACTGTTACACTATTTTGACTTTATCTCCGGCCCAGTTTCACTTCCTTTCAGCAGAGCCTGTAAGACCAAACATTTCTGTAGGAAAATATGATTTAATATTATTGTTTTAATTAGATCTTGGTCTTGG